TCAGAAGCACACAAACCGCTCACACACACACACAAACACACACACACACACACACACACACACACACACACTCACACACACTCACTCACACACACACACACAACACTACAGTATATCAGTGAGTGACTAGCAGAGAGCCAGAGGGGAGTGCAGAAATGAATGTGAAGATCCTGACGCTGGTGATTGTGCTCTTGGTGTCTCTGCTGTGTTCTGCCGGTGCTGGTGAGTAGACGAGAGGCCAGCCTCTCTTTCTGATTCTCCATTTCTTGTCTCCGTTTGCCATTTTTGCTCGTGCGGGCAGCTGTAGTTGATCAGTTTCCCCCTCTCTCTCTCTCTCTCTCTCTCTCTCTCTCTCTCTCCCGGCGTGGTTAGCCTTGTGTGGGTTCTCTCTCTTGAAAAAGGCAGGAATATGAAGCACCTGGTGGTGTACAGTGCTGCACTGCGGTGGCGGTACTGTCTGCTGTTGTAAACTGGACTCTGGATTCTGGGTTAGACTGGTTATTTTCCACCCCTGCCTCACCTTGATGTGTGCTTTCTGAGAGGCTTGGAGATGAAATGTGAGGAGCTGCTTCTGTGGATGTGTCTTATGAAATGTGAGATATGCACGGCACATGTTCTCTGATTTCTGTTCATTATTACCTGAGCAGCAGGAGCACACAGAATCTAGGGATAGCCACAGTAAAATCATATAATCTGCTACTGGAGACACTGAAGGACTGCTTATCTATTACCACCTGAAATGTCTTTTACCTGAAGTTAAAACAGTCAGACAGAGAAGGAGCATTCTCTCTGCTGGCTCATGGAAGGAACGAGTTTGGGGGACCAAACTGATGGGTGACCTGCGGATGTGCTGCAGGTGACATTACAGTGTGAAAAAACAACACTCAGGCTTATGTCAACCTGAAGACCATTCCTGTGATTATCACCTAAACACAAACTACAGTTGCTTAAAAACAAACCAACGTCCTGGTTGTTTATTTTTGTCTGCGTAGACAACCTGAAGCTGCCTTTAGATGTGTTCTGATGTAGCATAAAGTATGTTGCTAGGTGTTGTGTGGACAGCGAGATGCCGTGTGGAGCGTCCACTCCGTATCGATCCACGTCTTCCCGTGCGCCCATTCGTTTCCAGCGACATGCTATTTTTGTCTGCTGCTTCCCAGCGCACCAGTAAACGGGGAAGCAATTATCTCGCATCAGAGTCTGTGTCGCTTTTCACGCCCTGGCGTGTGGCGGAGCATGTTCCACGCCTGAAAACCCACCGTGCTGGTCGATCGATTGGGGGGKTGGGGGGAGAACGGGGCAGCAGTGCCTCCGGGCTTTCTGTGGAAGTCATGCCACTTATTCTGCAACCCTATCTGTCCCCCCCACCTGCTACTGTAGTGTCACAACAGAGAGGAGAGGAGGAAGAGGGATAAACGGAGTGAAGGAGAGGCAGGGCAGGGGGATGCAAGTGTTGCTGCGGCGCCGATGGGTGTGGGGAGGGATGCTAGTTTGGTGTGTGTCTGCGTAGCACAAGCCTCTGCTACAGTATGCGCCGTCGCGGGAAGGTGTCGGAAGAGACTCTGCGTGTAGGCAGTGGGTGTGAAGCCTTTCATCTTGAGACAAACGCTTTCCCCTCTCTCGGGCATGTGTGCGTCTGAGAACGGAGGGATGCGAGGAGAGCGTGTGTGTGTTGATATAGGCCGACGTAGAGTGTGGAAACGTGTGATTGTATTTATGGTGCAGATGATTATTAACAAGAACTCCGGCGCAACAGGCAATTCACTCAACAGCCAGAAGCTACTTAAAATATTCATTCTGCAGAATAAATGAGCTGCTGAGGCCTTCCTCGGGTGATATTAGCATCCTGTAGCGGCACACTTCAATTACCCGTCCTCCAAAAGCACTCTGGTCTGAAGAGTGGGCTCCGGCTTCAGACATGTGGTATCCATAATTCATCCTGACGCCGAACGCTCTTCCTCCCTGGACCGGCGTGTAAACAGTCCTCATTCTCAAAACACGTCTGTCACAGACTCATATCAGAAGCTTCACTTCTTCTTCTCTGCAATGGAAACACCCTGTCGGCCTCCACCGAGACACTTGTCAGATTAAAAACAACAGCAGCTGGCTCAGACGTGCACGCCCTCAGACGTGCACGCAGGTGTTAATGTGCAGTGGAACAGGTGAGGCCATGTCGTGAGAGTGAGGAAGGCCCAGATCAGACAGATAATCTGAGCGAGAGATCTTGTGCTCTTGAAGAGGGAAAATTTTTATGAGAACTGTCAGCGGTGCTTTTATTCTGAAGTAAACTTTGATGTATTGTTTGGGACCAGCATGTGCTCACACTGTACCACCTCAAAGTCTCACGGGTCAAAGTCCAGCCTCACAATACATTAAACCTCTAAAAGCTGCATAAATCCATAAAACAGATTATTTGGATCATAACATTTTTGAGAAGCTTCATCTATTAATGTAAAAAATAACCAGGAAGCTTTTTACAAGGAGGCAGAGGTGAGGGGTGAAAAAAGAAAAGGCAAAACTTTTCCAGATGTTCAGGGATAACATAACAACTGTGGGCAAACAGTTGTGTCAAAGTGAAAATGGTGGAAGGGTTCTTACACGATTACAGTGAAATCACTGGGATATTTAACCAAGAGACAAAACTTGTCTCACGGAGAACAGAGATTTCATCTTGATGTTTCATAACAAGGAAAGAGATTTWAAAAAAATCTTATTTTTTCTTCTGCGCAAACAAAAATACTCAAAATTAAGCTTATTTTCAAGAGTTTCTTCTTCTCATTGAATGTTTTTTTTTTTAGTTTTATCAGCTCAGATATTTACAGAAGAGCTAAAGTTCTTTCTAATAAAAAAACGACTTTATTCAATTTTAAGGTTTTATTATACATAAACTTAGCACAAAAAGTAAGTTAATGTGTGTTTGGCAGATTATTTCTTTGTTGTAACAATGCTTCTTGACAATATATATTATTTTCTCTTTTAAATAGTGCCACATTTTTAAGGAAAGTGCATTTGTGGGATGAGTATTTGGGTTGTGAACATGAAACATTTGCCACATCTTCTCTGCCAAACAGCTTATTTCACTGTTGCTATTGTCACTTGTTTTGAGCTTCTGGTACCTCCAGGTGCTGCCAATCAGCTGCCTGCCATAAGATTTATTGCCAAGAAGCATTGTTACAACAGAGAAATAATCTACCAAACACTTATTTACTTACTTTTTGTGCTAAGTTTATATTCATTTATTTACAGCCTTTTAAGATACATTAAAATAAAATGGATTTATTTTATCTTTACAGTATAACTTTATGATCACAGGTAAAGTTATGTTTGATGGGCACCATGAGACTCACATTATGCTGTCTGTGATCAATCGGGCATTACATTAAACATTGAGATATGATATGTTGTGTTGATGTGTACCTAAATTCAGTTAATAACAAACCACTCAGAAATGATAAGAGTTGAGTTTTACTCGTAATTCTAGTTTTCTGAACTGCCTTAATTGAATTATTGTTTCAAAACTACTCAAGTGGGGTTCAGTGGAAAGGTTACGGACAAATAATATCTCACTTGTTGTTTGATTTAAATCAATTTGTAGAGTTAAAGTTTAATTCTGGTCCTGGAGGGCTGCTATCCTGCATGTTTTAGAGTTTTCTTTGTGATAAATAAATGTGTTTTTAACCAACTTCTGTAGAACATGAAGGTGATTCAATGATCAAAACAGGTGTGCTGGAGCAGATAAAAAATAAAACATGAAGGATAGTGGACCTTGAGGACCAGGATTGGACACTTCTGAGCTAAAGGTTGACTGCTGTTGCCTCAAAACTGCTTTAATCTAAAGATTTCATTAACGTGAATGACAATTTTTAAAACCTTTTAAAACTTATGCTTTATCGTGACTTAAATGCTTTATCTCCAGTTTTTATTATTTTCAAATCTCAAATAAACAATAAACAAAGATAAATGCGCCAACATCAAGTTTGATTAGGTTCACAATCTATAAAACAGTACTTAAAAATCACAGTGAAGCAATTTTTTTAAAAGGTTTTGCACGGTATGTCCCCCCCCCTCACATATTTGCAATATCCTTCAATGTGAGTTCTGTGACTGACGTCCAGTAATAACTGTCACGGGGTTGAAGTTAATGAAGAGATTTAGTGGGAAATCGTAGCTCATTTGGTAGGGRTATAAGGCTAACCTTTGGGCTAACAGCCTCCAGAGACCTCGGCTGTTGAAGACTTTGGCATATGTGACTGCTGGGCTGCTGTAATGTAATTCAGAACCTTTTGAATGAATAAATCTACTCACTTAGATCTTCCCATGAGAGAAAATCCAGGGAAGAGCGGAGAAAAAGACAGTTCAAGAGGTAGAAAAGTAAAAGAGCAGACAGGGTTGAGAGACTGTGTGAAGAAACTGAATCTGGTGATTATTTTAATAAATTTGCTTCGTGGGATAATTACACTTTGCCTCTGTACAGGAATGTGTCTGTTTAGTTGCTTCCCTTCTTCATGCCTGTTGTAGTTTGGACCCTCCTTGAAGTTCTGAGGTTAGGCTTTGGGGCTACAGGAGGGTCCTCCTGTGTTCATCAGACCTCATGTGATCACCAGACCCTGTCCTCGGGCCAGAGGCGCTGCTTACAGCTTGATTAGACCCAGATATTTTTTTTTTTGGAAACAGCTCCATTTTCCTCCAGAGTCCAATATTAAAGTGATTTATGACTCCGTTTTTGAGCATTAAGTGTTACATTTATGGCAGCAGATCGGATTCCTGATCGCGATCTGAGTGGACGTTTTTATTATCAAGCAGCCAGAACCACAGAATAAATATTATGGTCTTTAAAAATGCAGGTGATTCATTTATGTTCAGGCTCAGTTTGTTAAAACACTCCTGTTTTGTATTGCAATGAAATTTGTTGAAAGTTCTCTCCGTCTAGTTGTAAACTGTAAAAATATTGTAGGCTGTTTAGTTTTATAAATAAAATATATAGATTTACAAAGACATTGAAGTGTTATTTATGCCGCAAAGCAAGCTGGGTAAATGATGATGGAAGAGAGCTGCTTCATGAAAAAGCTCAACTCAGCTTTAGCCTTTTAGCTTTCACATTAGCTTCAGAGCTAATATGTGGCATTAGCTCTCAAGCTATTAGCTAAGGAGCTAACACTACATGTATATTAGTTATTTATATGGCGTTAACTCCAGAGCTAACATCATATGTAGCAATATAT